TTTTTTTGCTGTTCATCTTTCCCCTTCTCTTTTATCTCTCTGCTTTGCTTATTCTCGTTTTCTTCATCCTTGTTCTTTCTTTCTTTTTTTTCTTGATTTGATTTGATTTTTTTTTTTCCTATTTTTTTTCTTTTCTTGTGCTTTTGCTCCTTCCTTTTCCTCCTCCCTTGCTATGCTGTTCCTTTCTTGTTCCCATTTTTCCTGTTCTTGTTTTCTTATCAATTTCTCTTATTTTTCTCTCTTCCATCACCCTTCTTCGTGTTCTTCTTCTCTTCTTTTCCTTAAATGTATCTTTTTATTCTTCTTTACTCCTTTTTCTCTTTGCCCTGTTTCTTTAATTTCTCTTCTTTACCTTCTTCTTCCTCTTTTTCTTTCTCAAGTCTTCTCTAATTTCACCCTCTCTGTTGCATTCTCCTCCTCCCTCTTCCTCTCTACTTTCTTCTTCACCTTCATCTCTCTCTTTCTTCTTCTTCCTCTATACCTTATTTTTCTACCCCCTCTTTCTTCAGTCTTTCTCCTTTTCTTTCTTTTCCACCGTTCCTTCTTCCCTCTTTCTTCAACTCTTCTTCCTCTTCAACTTCTCCTTCTCCCTTCTCCACCCTTTCTTCCTCTCTTTTTCTTTAACTCCTCTTCCTCTTCACTATTTTTCCACCTTCTCATTTTCTTATTTTTTCTTCTTCCCTGTCTTCTCCGCTTACACCCTCCTCCCCCCGCGTCGTCGTCACCTGTCGCTCCTCTTCTATGTTCGCTTCCGTTTTATTGTTCGCTCGCTTTGGGTTCCGTTTATTCCCGTTATCTCTCTTCCGTATTCATTTTCAGTTTATTGTTGTGCGATTTGACTTATCTATCTTTGGTTCTTTCCTTATTTCTTTCCTTGGCTTTCTTTTTCTCTGTTTGTCTGTCTGTCTCTATTTCTCTCTCTCTCCCTCCCTCCCTCCCTCCCTCCCTCCCTTCCTCCCTCCCTCTCTCCCTCTCTCCCTCTCTCCCTCTCTCCCTTTCTCCATCTCCCTCCCTCTTCCTCCCTTCCTCTTTCCCTCCCTTTCTCCCTCCCTCTCTCCCTCTCTCTATCTATCTATCTATCTCAGTCTCGCTCTGTCTTTCTCCTCTCTGTATTCTATCTATCCATCTGTCCATCTGTCTCTCTCCATCTCCAACGCGCTCTCACTCTCTCCATTTTCCTGTCGGTGTCGTGACGCGTTCACTCGCTCAGCCATAGTTTCCTTCGCGCTTTCCCCTCGTCTTCCTCACCACAAGCCTCGACCGCCGCCATTTCCCCTTCCTTCCCCGCTCCTCCTCCTTCCTCCTCCTCTTTCCATTTTCTCCTTCCTCCTCCTCCTTCCTCCTCCGCTTTCCATTTTTTCCTTCCTCCTCCTCCTTCCTCCTCCTCTTTCCATTTTCTCCTTCCTCCTCCTCTTTCCATTTTCTCCTTCCTCCTCTTCCTTCATCCTCCGCTTTCCATTTTCTCCTTCCTCCTCCTCTTTCCATTTTCTCCTTCCTCCTCCTCTTTCCATTTTCTCCTTCCTCCTCCTCTTTACATTTTCTCCTTCCTCCTCCTACTTTTTCCCCCTTCTCCTTCCCCATCATCTTCCTCCTTCCCATTCCTCCTCTTCCTCCTTCCCCTACCCTTTCTTCCTCTTCTTTCTCTTCCTCCTTCCCCCTCCCCCCCCCTCCACCTTCCCCTCCCCCGTCCGTAAGTGTATTGTGCGAGATGTGTGTGTTGAATGGGGTCTGGTAGAGAAGGAAGGGGGGGAGGGAGAGAGGGAGGGAGTGAGAGAGTTAGATAAGGTTGGAGCGGAAAAAATGAGAGAGAGAGAGAGAGAGTGAGAGAGAAAGAGAGAGAGAGAGAGAGAGAGAGAGAGAGAGAGAGAGAGAGAGAGAGAGAGAGAGAGGGAGGGAGGGAGGTAAGGAGAGAGATGGGGGGTAGACGAGAGACAGAGAACGAGAGAAATGAGAAATGAGAGAGAAGCGAAGATCCTAAAGAGCCCCTTTCCCCCCGCCCGTTCTCTCGCTGTCAGTGTCGCCGCGGAGGCAGCGTCGCCGCGCCCTTGGCCTCCGTGTTTCCCGCCCCGACTACCTGCATTTCCGGTGTCCCGACGCCCGGAGAAGGGCTCGGGAGCGACGCGTTTTTCCCAGAAGGGGCTCGCCGCGGGGGGTGTTGTAGGTTGGGGGGAAGGCGTTGGGGGGTTCGTAGGAGGGGTTGGGGGGAGGTGGCCCACAGGAGGGGGCATGGAAGAGGGGTTGGGGGGAGGTGGTTCGCAGGAGGGAGCAGGAGGGGAAGTGGTTCACAATGGGGGGGGGAAGAAGTGGGTCGTTAGAGGGGAGGAGGAAGGGGAGGAGCTGAGGGGAAGTGCCTTGCAAGAGGGGGAGGGGAGGGGAGGGGAAGTGACCCACCGCAACAGGGTAGGTGACAACATTGGAAATTTCGGGTGAAATCTCATATTCCGGGCGCGAGGGAGGGACGTGAGAGGCGAAATTCCCCGAAGGGAATGGCGGCGGCCCGGCGAGGAGGCGCTGACGGACG